CTTCTCACTGACAAGACAAAGCTTCCAGTAACACAGCTCTTTTTTGGTGATAATGGTGGTCGTAAGGAGCACGGCTACCACACCCTGGGAAAATTCAAGTGTTATGGTACAGCATAATCACTTGGGTAATCACACACACAAAGAAACTTGTTATTACCAGAATTAATTGTTATTTGGTGTCATGTGGAATGTTAAAAGAAACCTGTAAAATATAGGCAAGTGCTGTTCAGGGTCATTTCAACAAAACCTTTACAAGAATAGTTTACAAGCTTTCGGACTCTTAATAGCTACTCTTGACAAACAAAGCACATGTTAGATGACCATCCGGAGCACTCTCTAGGAGAGGGTTTTCCTTGACAGTTCGGCATGCTTCCCAAAACCTTGATCCTATCTCAGACTAATATCCCAAAGGGGGGGGGGGTACTCCTGGGAATTCTTGGTGGAAGTGTGCCGCCCAGTTCTCCAAATCCTGACCCTACTTCAGAACAAAAAATGTAATTTTCCACACCCGTTTTCAGACTAGATCTCTAAAATCCACACCCGTTTTCAGACCTGGTCCTTAGGCAGAAATTATGTTATCATTACTTAAATTAGAGTGCAAACAAAAAGTCTTCCAAGCCATTTCAAATTCGCATATTTCTCTTTCTTTCTTACTCATTTGGAATTGAAACGATAATTCGTTCATACACTCCCGTAGTTCCCTCAAAAACCATACCCGTTTTCAGACCAAAATGGCGCAAAAACCCTACCCTGATTCGCTGTTCTCAAGTGAAAACAAAACTTTCCTCTGTTTGAGACCATAGCGCTTAAAACAAGAAGGATTCAAGACTATTCTCCTTGGCGCCTCACATACTATACATAGCTAAGGGAGAATATTTTTGCCTGTGTGTAGCGACCTGTATGATTCACATTACGGAACCGAATGATAGAGCCGACAGTTCCGGTTGTTTTATAAAAAACGGTGTTTTGCTTAGCTAACTTTCTTGGCCAAGCATGCAAATAAAAAAGGAAAGACTAGAAAAGTGCAGGGAAATCACAGCTTTGACGCTGTGAAAAGAAATTAAACCAATTAAAGAGAAGTTGTGTCTGAACCTAGCTACACCGCGCACGTGCTTTATCGTACATAAAACTTGTATTTTTTTTCTTTTTATTAACCAGCTTCGTTAAGAAAAGAAGAGTTGAAGTTAATATTTGATAACTGGTTTCTTTCATCAAGGAAAAAATGGTCACTTAACATAAGATTATTAACATACCAGTAACTAGGGTTATAGTTTTCTGTGCTTTAAAGTTACACATGATAAAAATGAACACCAGCAACAGTCTTCGCAAGTTTTCGCCTTTTTATGGCCAGGTTGACTGAGTTATAGACTTATAAGTACATGTGTCATAGAAACGAAGACTAACTTCAAGTAAAATGTATTTAGATATATTGAAGCTCGCATCGTACACTTAACCCGGGGGGTACTTGGGTTAATTTTGAGTATGTGCCGCTGGCCTCTCAGAGCCCCTACCCCATTATAGTCACTTTTGGGCAAACGTAATTTTCGCGATCCCAACTTAGTCACTCTCTATTTATGTATCAATCCTTTTTGAAAATAGGTCATCCTAAAATAAATTGACCCAGTTTTTAAATTGAATGAAGAACTCTTCACTTTTCACCTACAATACAAACATGCTGGTACGTTTTCTAACCGTAAATATGAAGAACTTTCTCAGCCCCAAAATCCCAAAATGTGCGACCCCATTCTAGTAACTTTATTGAAAATGCAATCCCATTATAGTCAATCCAGACGTGAAAATGCGACCCCATCCAGCGGCACATCCCCATTAGCCCCTTATAAGGAAGTATCCTCCTCCCGGACACTTAAGCCACATTAAAGGTTATAAAAAAATTTAATAACACAAACTCAGTGACAGGAGATAAAAGCTGACTTCTGCATATAGTTCAAGTCAGTATTGACTTCATGTTTTTATTGTTTATTGATGTTCCTTTTTTATTTCAGTATCGTTTTAGGCTAACTTGTAGTCGACGAAAAACAATAGCAGTGTTGATAAGGAACTCATTTTGAATTTAAAGTAGATGTTTAGAAAACGTGTTTAACTTTGGTTTAAATGGGGAAACAAGGATAAAGACTCTTGAGTAGCGATATGATTAACATTTCCAAGTTTGAATAGCGGTGGCTGAATAAGCTGATCTACCTGATTTTTACTATAAGGACGCGTTGCGCACGTATTCTAGTACGTATACTAGTAGTAATCAAAGATTAATAAGTGCGTTCGAAGTTCAATGAATTTAGCTAAAATCATACAAAAACAGAGGAGGAAATTAGTTGAGAGATTAAATGAGAAAGACGAAGTATTTAAAGAGCAACATGAACAATAGCAACTTTAATAGTGAAACCCAATAGTGAGCCCGCAATTTCTTTGGCCGGCTATTGGGCTTAAAATTCGTGCGCGCGCTTAATAATTATTCAAAATGGCGCAGATTTTGAACATCGCCCGTCCAAGTAACCAAAAATCTCGAATCTTCACGCCTGGCATGCACAGGTATCCCATCGACCACAGGATCCCCAAAGATTACGAAGCGTTCTCCTAACGTCGAACGCAACAACCATTACAGTTTTGTTGTTTCTGTTTCTATATATCATGGCTTGCTAGCTGGGTAGCCCAAATGCTATGAGCTACTCGGTTGAAAATCGAATGAATGCTTGAGACAAACCATTAGGTTGCACATCGCCGTAAGTGGCTCCGTAAAGCCAGTTTTTGTATGATAAGTAAACGTCATATGTAGAACTATTAGGTAAAAATAAAATCTCCTCTATGGAGCATTCAAGTGATCGAACGTAATATGAATTAGAGGGGTCTCTCCCCCATAATGTGTACCAGCTAGTACGCTAGAGCTTTTTAAATCTCTTTTTCAAAACGCACCTCTTAAGCAAAGTACTTGTACTTAAATATTACCAATAAATTTTTTCCGTGATTGCATTTTGTGCTTTCCGTGTTTTTTTGTTTATTTCCCTTACGTATTCAATGCTGTTTGTAAGGCGCCATTGGGCTTTTGGTGTTTGGCACTATCGATATTATTATAATTATCATGATCATACGTATGTTGAGCACGATAGTCCAGACTAACGTAGTCCTGATGATGTTTACAGTGACTGACGTTTCAATGCGGTAGTCATCTTCAGAGTCAAAGTAAGGTCTATGGCGTCAGTTAATGGTAGTAAACTCTGGCTTTTGACCCTGTTGGTCAATTACGTCGCGACGGTATTGGTTGTCTGTCAGTTAAGCCGTGATGTTATTGGCTATGAAGAGAACAGAGAGCCTACGGACCAGATTGCTGAGTCGCCACATTTGAAACGATAAGACTCTGGGACGAGGTCACTGTTGAAATCGAGATCTCGGCCTAGGCGCAGATGACTGAGCATCTCTTAATGGTAAGTGCGCATGCGGAATGAACAACTCATGCGCAAATCCTTGTTTTGGTTGTAACTGTGATATGAATGACTGTGAATGGTGTGAAGACAGCGGTCTCCTCACTGACAAAACAAAGCTTCCAGTGATACAGCTCGTGCATGGCGATGCAGGGAAAGACAACCAGGGATACCACACTCTTGGAAAACTGAATTGTTATGGTACATCATAAAAACTAAGTTGTTTTAATCAGTGAAAATAAAACACCAGTTGTCAACTTCATTTATAAGCGGTTCGTTTGTTTAATCCACTTTTATAGACGTTAAATTCTAAGGCTTTCACGGTACCAAACTTTAGAAATTGTTCGGCGGTTTGGCACTTCTGTCGGGCTCGAAATAAAGACAAACTGGGGAAACTTAACAGAAGGGCGCTCAAGATCGTTTTTAACAAGAACTCTTTGCACTACTAGGATATTTAAATGAGATAAACTGTGAGGATTCATATAGTAACAGATGCCAAGATATGTTAAGCGTGATAGTTTTAAGACAATCCATACTGACACGATGTCAAGATGTCTTGGTGGAATGTATCCAATGAGGAATACAACACACTATCTTCTACCGATTTAAACGACATGCTGCTTGTTGCAGTTAATGGGAGAACATATTTACTGGCCTTTAAAAGACTTTTACGTTAATTTTTGCGTGGTCACGCTCATAAGGACGCGCTGCTAAAGGTGAGATATTTGGAAATAAAAGAATAAACAAAAGCTCGCATGGCCTTTGTTTTTTTGAAAGGCAGTAACATCGCTACAAAGGAAAGAACGCGCAGGCTTCGACCAATGAGAGCGATTCAGTTCACGCTCCACCTATGCTTCTAACTCGACTGTAAGTACAATGTCCTGAGAACAACAGCCATTCTGCGCGATAATCTGTTTTACGTCATCCTAAGAAATCTCTTGCGTTGGGGCGTGAACAAATGAAATGTCATCATTTTATTACTCAACGACTCCATGCGGCCCCTGATCAAGCAAATCGAGATTTTTTCTTTAGTAGCTGACTGCATATTTCAACTGTAAGTTCCTTTCTACATACTCGCGCAGCAACAAGGATGTCTCCTCGGGATTTCGCCCAGCGGGGGCAATGAATTGTGCATGGGATTTTAGCCAATCTGAAACGGAAAAATATTTTGACTGGATAATGATAATAATATTTATTTCCAGGAGATTTTTTGTTATTGCAATACAACGGAGTTTTATAGCTTAATTTTTTATTCCGGAACACGATCAACAGAACGCGCGCCCTCAGAGGTCAATTTATCACACACTAAGTAGGGCGAAGAAAGGAGATCGAACACCTTGGTCTTGTTTCAAGAATATCACGTTTTGTGAAAACGTGATATTCTTGTGTGTTATATCACGTTTTGTGAAAGTGTAACGTTTTACTAATCTTGCGTTTCCGCAGTACTAGTATAAATGTTTTCACGTTAATTGAAAGAGTGAGTTTCTTGTTGTCAAAGTTGCTTCCCACCCAAACAAAACTACTCTGACAAATAGCGCCGACGTCTAAAATAATTGCTTAAGTAGAACATTAAGAAAATTGTAACTATACCTTCAAAACGTTACAGTGCCAGCGGGAAAACCGTGAACACCTGAAATATCCCAGGAATGTTATTTGTGTCCAATCACACGTCCGAAATACACTCGCCAAAAGGCAGTGTTTATTGTTGCGTTCTAATTTTTGTTTGAAAACGCATACATTTCGCAGCGTTTAGGCCTTCCGTCTACACTAATACGCTGAGTGAAAACGAAAACGCATCGATTTAAAAACGCTCTTGATAGTTGACCAAAACAAAAACGCATACATATTGTATTAGTGTGGACAGTGGAAAACGCACCAAAATGAAAACGATGACCGAGAATTTCGCTAAGAATTTCGCAGGGGCGTGTGTCCGTGACATGCGCATAGAGTTGAACTTACGTCAGAACGTGCAGTTCTATCGTTTTCGAACGTTTTAGAGTAGACAGCCGAAAACGCATCAAAGCGGTATATAGCGTGGACGCGAATCGATCGATGCGTTTTCAATGACAACGAAAACGAGTTCAATTTTAAGTTTCTCAGAAACTGTCCACCAACCCCTCCCCTAAGTTAACATTTTGCCCTAAGTGAGAAGTAAGTGTTAGTGTTAGTTTAGGGGAGGAGTAGATGGGCATTCTCCCACTACACGCATTAGTGTGGCCAGGGCCTACAAGACCTACAAGCTTTCAAGAGTCAAAATGACAACATAAATTTCTCGTTTGACTGCTGTTGGCCCTCTTCTACCCCTTCCTAGCACCAATCCAGGACACCAGCATTTTGAGTGAGCTACCTGTTAGCGCCTGTCTATCCTGACACTCAGTCGCACTAATCTTACATAACAGCTAACGTCCGACTGGCTTGCTGGTAATTATAGTGTCTGCATATCTAGAACGCCGGCTAGCACCTGTACTAAATAACGCTGCCTGGTATGTAGAACGCAAGCTCGTGCCTTTTCAGTGGCCAGCTACTGCCTGTTTAGAATTTTATTTGCGACTTCCACGATTCCATGATGCAATTTGTTTTCCCATAAATAAAAAATGTATAAGTTTTGTTTGCAGTTTCTCTTGGGCTAACAACAGTCCATTGAGAAACTGAAAACAAAACTTGTGTAAACTTTTGAGGGAAAACTAATTGCACTATGGGAGCGTGAAAGCGCAGATCACTCAAGAGAACTCTGAAAAGAATGAAGACTTTTCAGGTTGGTCGCTGCTGAGGTTGGATGTTTCGTGCTTTGAAATAATCTGTCAGCTGTTTTGGTACCTCGGCCAATACTTCTTTAGCAAGTGCAGCAGGAGACGACTAAAATATAACAAATAAATGAACAAACATAAAATTTGCTGTTGGGCATTACGCATAATGTTGCGTGCTATGTTTTATGTTATGTCGGGAGAACGTAGTTGGCAATGTTGTTGGAACGTAATGTAAGAAACAACTGCGTACGGGTGCGATGTTGCGGGAAATATTGTGAGAATGTTGGGTTACCGGTATTATTGCGTGCAATGTACAGAGTACTGTTACGAGCTATATTGTGTGCAACGTTGCACCAATACTGCGTGCAAAGTCACAGGTTATTTTAAGTGCAAAATTGTAAGTCATCCTTCAAGTTTGGCGCAATGCTGCATGCAAGGTACAAAATTATGCTTCCTGTAATGCTATGCGCAATATTGCGGGTAACGTTGCAAGTGATGATACTTGCTTACGTAGAATATTAGGTGCAAGGTTGCAAATATTACTACGGTAAAGTTAGGCGCAATATTGCGAGCAAGGTTGCAAGTTATGTCGCTTGTAATACCACTAGCAATATTATATACAAGGTTGAATGTCATAATACGTATAAAGTTACGCGCAAGAAGACATGCGAGGTTGCAAGTAGTGCTTGCTTACTCTGTAATATTATACACAAGGTTACGTGCAAAGTAATCAGTTGCAAGTGATGCTACCGGCAAGGTAATGAGCAATATGAACAAAATGTAACGGGTAATATTGCGTGCGAGGTTGCAACTGATAGTAACTGTAATTGTACGCGCAATATTTCGTGAAGGATTGAAAGATTGCGTACAAGGTTACAAGTCATGTTACCTGTAACATTAGTTGGTAATATATTACGTGGGATATTGCCTGCAAGGTTGCAAATATTTCTACTTGTAAAGTTATACGCAATTTTACGAGCAAGGTTGCAAGTAATGTTACTTGTGATATTACTTGCAATATCGGGTGCAAGGTTGCAAGAGATGGTATGCGCAAGATGGCGTTGTGCGACCTCACCCTGTAATGTTATGCACAAGATTGCGTGCAAACTTGTAAGTGATACTAACAGTTATGTAATGCACAATATTGCTTGCGAGGTTGCAAGTGGTACCACCTATAATTTTACGCGTCATATCGCGTGCAAAGTTGCAAGAATAACTATGTGTGATTGTATGTGCAAGTATTGCATTCAAGGTTGCAACTACTGCTACATGTTTTTTAATGTTGAGCGCAACATTGCCTACAAGGTTGCAAGTGATGCCACCTCTAAAGTCACAACAGCAAAAACAAGACATATATTACTCATAAAAACAACTGTAGCGAGTTCCTTTCAAAAAGACTCGTGACTATAGTTCACTTACAGATATATTTGTTATGAAAACAGAGAGTTGCTTTCGCTGACGAACAAGTTTCCTGGATGTCGCAAATTAAAATGTGAAAATCTTCAGTATGAATCTCAACCATATCCAAGCCCTCTTACCAAAATCTGAGTATTTCAACTTTATGTGGGCTTGGCAACTCTTTTGCCTTTGTTTCGATCGACTGTTAACGAATCAATAAGCAAATTTTAACTGTCAGTTTGAGACAAAATGTTCTCTTTCAACCAAATTGATGAAGGGGTGTTGGTAAACAACAAAAAAAGCATTTGTTTTCTGTGGCGCGCGAGAAGTTTGCAATTTTTTACTATGTTGTAAAAAATTGGTCAATCACTCAAAAATCGGCAGAAATTCCCTCCAGATTTCCCGCGTGCATCTATAACTCGATATACGCACGCTAGGCATGAACTAATTCTCAATTTTTCAACGGCAATTATATTACACTTTAATAGCAGTGATGACATTTCTTACATGTTTGAAATTCCTGAACGGTACAAATTGAACAATGTCCCTCTGTGCGGATCTTCCACCAGCCATCAACCTGACGATCGTAAAGAGAAGAGTCGGTTGTTTACCTCTTACAAAAGTAAATGGAACATGACTTTTCGAGTCGTTCCAAGGGAATATTTGCGAGAGCAACGGAATATCTGCAAAGGTAGCCCTTTTTTCCGGACAGAATTACCAAACGGAAATTCGTGCCTTCGCGGCCGTTTTTTGGTAAATGGAAATGATCTGTGCAAACGGTAAACGCGATTCCGGACTGAAATCTACCCGTCCTGATTTTTGCTTACCATTTGCCCAAACCGTGAAGCAACCATTTTCATCCACCGTAATCAGACTGTTATCATCCACTATAATCAAACCCTTTCAAAGACTGATACGCTGATCCCGGAAGAGCCTTGAAGTTTCCTGAGTGCCAGAGGTATATTTTGCGCATGCGAGCGATCTGCATTTCTGCAGAAGCCATCTTTGATTTTGGTATAGCAGACAGTACAAAGCGCTATCAGTAGGGTGCCAATTGACCATTTTGGGGTCGCGCTGAAGACTGGGTCTGACTGTTGGACTGGTTGCGGAACGCTGTCCGTTCTTTTAGCGGAGGTCCACACGAAATTGTGGTAGTCACGTGACCATACGTCACACGCAGAACCTGAAAATGGACAACAGGGAGAGAGAAGGGAACTGCCCCTCCCACACTCTTCCCCCTCCCTCTGACACCTGTGGCTTGCACACCACAATGTAAGCGAATTCTAGAACCACCCTTCACGACTTCGAGGCTACCAGGAGAAAGTAAAATTACTCATTGCTGCTTTATTTTACAGAAGCTACACAAAAGCCTGAGGTAACCCTGCTAAGGACAAAAAGGTCCACCACACAGGAGAAATAATGTTCCACATTTATCTAACGGGTTTGGATCCTCTTTGGGGGGAGGGGTTACCCATTGCTTGTGCACTGCAGCTGGGGAAGACTTGTGTTGGTGGCTAAAACTTTGACATCTTGAATGGCAGGAGGCGGAGTGCCAAAGGAAGATGTCAGGAAGGACGCATATTCAACCACCCCTCTTTACTGTCACCCTAGAGCCATCCCTTCCAACTTCATACAACGGATTTGTTCCCAGTCTTCCTCCTATTCTGCATCAATTTAGTAATACGAAGATACACCGTCAGAAAGCGCAATATTATTACTATTGTTGATATTATAAGTTACAGTTTTGCTTAAGTTTCCTTACAATGCGTCATCGCTGTCAAGTTCCTCCATCATGGCAAAATCAGCCCCTCCAACTCCAACAATAATGATTGACATGGGAAGCGCTGATGCTGCTACAACAGCCTGCTTGGTTTGATCCATGTCTGTGATTACACCATCAGTCAGTATTAGAAGTATGAAGTAGTTCTATCAAAAAAAAAAAAGAAATACTAATAATAATAATAATAATAATAATAATAATAATAATAATAATAATAATAATAACAATAATAAACTGTTACATCTAAAGTGAACAAATACTTACTCCGAACTGAAAGTCTATTCCCCATTTTCACATAGACCATAATGCACCTTGTTTACTACCCAAAATTTTGCATTGCCATTGTTTTCTGTTTCTCCTGGGTATTACAGTCGTCCCAAGTGAAATCGAAGACAGCGATTATGCAAACGTTTGGGGGAGAGGGGGGTAAGCCGCATTATTTTATGGCCTATGTGAAATTGGTGAATTTACTTTTAAATTTACGGACGTGTTGGCACTAGGCACTAAGTTACGTCTCAGGGGCTCGGACTCCCCTTTTGTTTTCTTTTGTGCTTTTAACCATGTGCTTAAAGACTTCGTGGTTTATTTATTCGTAAACGTTGCTGATTTTCTACAAAAAATTGTCAGCAACATGACGAGAAAAATCTTTCGTCCTTGAATCCACGTTTCAGCAGTTTAAACAGAGCCACCTGCCCAGGAAATAACAAGTCTAAGAAAATTAGCTGTTAGTCTCTGGAATAAATATCTCGCTAGTCCTGAACACTATGACCACATTGACCTCTGTTGACAAGCCCAGGTATGGAGGCTAGTTTGAGGCATTAACCTTTGACCCTTCAACATGTGAAAAAATAGATTCTCCTCACTTTTCACTTCACATTGCACTATTAACATTATCTGTATTATCGACAAAGTTTATCTTTGGTGACGTTCCGGTCATCTACGATTTTTCTTTTTTTAAAAATGTACTTTATTAAAAAGCTTATGTATTTAGGAAAAAAATTTCCTACTGGAGACTGGACTGTCATTTCTTCTTCGTCATCCTGGCACACGAAGGTCTAACCGTTTGTAAGGTGAATGACAGTACTTTCATTTCTAAGATATTTAAGACTGGGTGTTGTTCCCTCTCTGTCGGCCAGCACTTTACCGACAAAGCTCACCCTGTCATAGTTTTATATCAAATAATTCACATGAATCATATCAATCACTCTGAAATGCCGGGCCAAAGGTCTGACAAAAAATTATGCATATTACTTACAGTGGCAGTTGGGGTTTGAGCTGCTTGTTGTGCAAAGTGTGCAACATGGCTGATGATAGGCGAGATGTTAGTTGGGCCATAAAGCTGTACACTTTGTATGCAGGTCTGATAAGCCTGAACTAAACCAGGGAGACCTAGAAGGAAAAAGTCACACATTTACAGGAAATGATCTAAAAGACGCCTGGGGCGTCTGTTTAATTTTAGGAGCCCAAGCGGAGGCGTTTATAGTCGACATTGTTCTTTTTTTAAAGCTCAGATCCAATGTCAATATCCTTACTTTGTACTTGAAATTGCACAAGATGCAATGCGCAAACTATTGTTAATCAAGCAAGAAACTGAATAAATTGAATTATTTTGGTCTATTTTGCAGTATTCAGGAACCACAGACAAGCGGGCGTCTATTCAGGAGAGTGGGGGCGTCTATTAGAGAGGGGCATCTATTCTAAGCGTAAGGGACGGATTTTCATTAGCCTGCGAATACAGCCGTTTCTCCTTTCTCCTCGCCGCTGGAGACGTTTCGCCAGCAGGAACGTGTGAGCCTCAGCAACATAAACTCCAAACTGATGACGTAAAATCTGTCCAGAATTTTTGTCAGGAGCGGCTCTGATTGGTCGACATAATAATTCTATTGTTTTACCTATTGTTTACGAATGACAGACAACAGACAAACGGCTACAAAGGTCAAAGGCAAACGGGGTCGTCGTAAACGTGAGGAATCTACGTTCTACAAAACAGTGTTAGAAAAAGCATCTGAAAGTTTTGCTGTAGTTGCTCGTTCGCATTACCACACAAAACTTTACCATATTGGACAGGAGAAACATGATTATCAACAAATTTACATTTGGATCCCCATGACTACCGGACTACCGGATTTGTTATGTAAACATTGATTTACGTCATCAGTATGGAATTTCTGAGGCCCAGACGTTCCTCCCGGCGAACGTCCCTGGCGGCGAGAAACTAGAAGAAACGGCTGTATTCGCAGGCTAGATTTTTTTTTTCAGACCATAGGCGTTTACTTGCAAGAGGGTACCTATAGAGCCTTTGGTGTCCTAAAACAATAAAACGGCGGCAATGTTGCTGTCCAAAACCAGCCCAGTGTGAGTAGAGCGCTTTACTCATGGAAAGACCTTCTTTTGTCGCAATTAATTTGCATAGTTGCTGGCCACGCAAGTGAAAACGCTCTATTAGATCATTTACGGCTGTTACGGTAACGGAATCCCTTTTAGCCGGCTATAAAACACTGATAAAACAGAGCCGGAGAGAAGCGTACCGCGAGGGAACGTGCGAGGGAGTGGCAAATTGCCCCCCCTTGTACTAGTGTCACCTTTTGCGTGCCGCTCACGCTTGTCGTAATTTCCCTTGAGACCCCTTTATACTCTGTGCTTTAGGTCATGCATAACAAGGATAGTTTACGAATACCTGCACAGTACGGATTGCCAGGATTAAAGTTCAATGGAAACTGATGGGAAACCTGAAAAATTGAAGTAATTTTTTTTTTTCTCTTTGAACAAATTAAAAGTGTAAAACATGTTTCCTGTATGATATAGATAGAGAGGCAAGTAAGAGGTGAGCTTGGAGCGCAAGACACGAGCATAACGCTTTTTTCGGCTACGTTTATCTTTCCTTTAGGCGATCTTACACGGGACGATTCGCAACGACGGTTTTTTTGCTCAACACAGCGTAGCAATGTTGGAACAATGTTACAACCATTCGAAACAATGTCGCAACAATGTTGAATTGATGTGTTGCGTTAAAAAATCGTCGTTGCAAATCGTCCCGTGTAACATCACATTTAATTATTTGGTAATTTATCCTCTTGCGCTTTGCTTCCACTTTACGTCTACCTCACTCTTCCATGACTTTTTCGATGGCCTTTTCTACCTTTTCATGACCTTAGGTTTAGCTGTCATTTTGGAAAGGTTTCAGAACTTTACTTGTTTCAGCATATTTTTACCTTAAACAGTTCAAAAGAAACAAATTGTGGTATCCACCAAAATGTTCGCGCTGTTTAATTACTCCTCTTTATCTCACGTTATCCTTGCTTTGTCATCTGCAGTAACTAATCTACCAAACAAAACTTTAATTTTTCATGACCTTCAAGGACCAACAATTGAATTCCATGACTTTCTAGGCCTTGAAAATCAAATTTCACGACTTTCCAGGTTTTCCATGGACAGTACGAACCCTGATAAAACATGAAAGCTTTTACATGTTGATTTTGAGTCGAGTTTGAAACAGGAGCTCAGTAACAACGTAGCTCTGGACTCAAATTTTCACAAGCAAGGTTAAACTAACTTCTGCAGTAGATTTGTTTACAAAGTAACTCGAGGTTCAAATTCGCCATTACTGTTTTTTTAACTACGACTACCTCGTGACTAAGCTTTCCGTTGATAATACTCTTAGCTGTTGTGTGCACCAATTAGAAATAGCCTCCTCTGCGAGGCAATAAGATTTAACCGCAGGTTTTGGCAATTTTACAAGACAATACGTTTAATCTACTTTTGAACAACTGGGTCGGGTCCAAGGATTTAAGCTGTATAAACTGAAAGTCCTTTTTCTGATTTACCTGATATGACGGTGGAATTCTGGCTCCAAACCCAAATGAGGGAAACAGTTTGTCACTGTAAAATAAAATCAAGAAGATATATGTTGTAATTAATTTTTTGTCTCAGTTAATTTTTATTTTTCCATTGTTTTTGGGTATGGTAATGTATGCTAATGAATTTAAAACAAAGGAAAAACAAAAATTAACTGACACAAAAAATTAACTTCAACATAATACGTAAAACGCATGACATCTAATTATGCCTTATTGACAAAAGCCCAATTTGAAAACCAATCGCCCAAGGAACCCCTTCATAGACACCATGGCTGCGATGGTATAATCGTGGACTAATTTCTGTGAATTTGTAAATTTTCACAATTTTAGTATCTTTTAAACGCTATCACATTTTTTAAAGTATTTGTAAATATTTTTTATTTTAGTTTTATTATTCATGAACTAGTCTTTTTCCTTATTATTATCATAGTTTTATCACAGTATTGTAAAAATTACAATAATATAATTTTATTTAAATAAAACACTCACTTTCGAAATGAAACCAAGTGCACAACCTTTTGTGCAAATTTAGTTGCATAATTTATTTGCAAGAGAATGAAAAATAATTTCTGCATCAAAGGCTGAGCACTTAGCCTTGTTTTGATTTAGACGTTCTGTGGGAAATGGCCTATTAAAATGATAGAGCCATAAGAAGTATCTTCCAAAATGTTTCAATTAAAGTGCTTAAATGATAGATTTTCCCACCCTGTCATACATGTATACTATACATGTAAATCTACAGTGGTTCGCAAGGACAAAACACATCCCAGATTCCAAAAACACTTCCCAGAATCCAAAACACATCCACAGAATCTGAAAAAACGTCGCAGAATCCAAAACAAGCCCCAGAATCGAAAAACACTTCCCAGAATCCAAAACACGTCCGGATTCAAGAGCCACCGTATAAATCTGAAGTCTGAAAAAAGTATCCCTTTCTGGCGAAGCCTCCGCATATAGGCCTTTATAGGGAGTGCCAGGCAGTGAACAGGCTCTCAGTTTGGGGAAAGGGTGAAAAAATCAGGGGAGAAAGGCGGATTCTCCCTCACCCGAAGGCCTGTTCACAGGCTATACTACCATTCTTCCGTTATGATTACCTGTCATAATCTTGAATAATTTCCCCCACAGCCATCAGCGCCTGCATGTATTCATTTGGTGCATAAGGATTCATGAAGTGAAGTGAAGTGCTGTTAGTAGGGTCACCATTTGAGGCTGTGAAGTCTATTCCAACCTGTTAGCCATGTAGAAAAATTAACATAGAGGGCCAATAGAACTACAGTCTGTACAGTGATGGTGCCCTTATATAGTCAGGGTTGTCAGAACGTTTTGAAGTAGATGGCTGAGTTGACAAAGTAAGTGGCCAGTCCTAGGATATTTTATTTAACAAATGCCATCTGTAAAGAAATACCAAGCAGAGTAGCCGGCTGATACTAATCAAGTAGGTGGCGATTTTGGCCAGCAGCTGGCTACTTTTGACAACCCTGTATAGTGCTTCTTAAGGTGGGAGAGTCCAATAATTTATTTTCTCATCCCCACAGTGAGATGTTACTTGTCTATGACTGTATGGGCAAAAATAGGGCTACAATAAGTTGCAAAAGTACTTGAGACAAAGTACCGTATTTTGGCTTAGCTGGCCTGTCCATGATCTTGTGCTTGTGATCCCCCTCCACCCCTTACCTTAGTGGTTAGCAATACAAGACCAGGCTCAAGACTTGGGGAACAACTTTGAATGGAAGGGAGGAGGAAGGTCAGAATAAAACCTTTATCTCACTGACCTGTGACTAACAGAGATATGAAGCAAGAAAAGTCGTTTTTTCGTTGGAGTGTCTCAAAATTTTTGCAACTGGTTGTAGTGCTCAGCAGTGAGCAGTTACTTGACTGTAAGGGGCAAAACTACTTCACTACTGAGTGAAGTTGTTACTGAGCTATTTTACAGTTGATGTCCTCTGCAATGAGGATAATAGGCCACTTCTGAGTTCCAAAACCCCCACTTTCAAATTAAGGCTGAAAAAATGAACGAAAAAATGCCTCATTACGATATAGTTTACTTGCACTAAATTTGCATAGACTAACAACAAGCCTCTCTTTAAATCTGCATTCCTCAACCCTCGCCTCAACCCCCATCCCAACAACTCCAACCCCCATCTGCAGCAAGCTTCTCTTGAGGAAGATAATTATTGGCTCTTCTAATGGTTGGATACGAGTGAGAATCAGAGTCAGGGTTGTCATGAGTGAGTGTGAGAGAGTTTCTTTAAAGCCAATCATGTAATTGTTGTGTATTAATAAATTATAACCCTACACCTTAATGAGAAATGGTCTAGTTAATTAAGTGTAAGTTCAGAAAAGTCTTAGAATTAAAAAGGAAGAATATTTCTTTCAAAACCCACTGTAAAGTTAAGTTGACAGCCACCTTGAATGAAGTCCAAAAATGAGGATACTTTGACTACCTGTAAAAATAAGAAGGAAGTCTAAAATTATGAGACTATGCAACGACATGGGAACATGTAAAGAAAAAATCAAACCAGTGACTGCTTAATCAAATCAATTTGTGTTTAAATGAAAGTCAGCCCTCAGAAATACATGTACAATCTCTTGGGGACACGAAATAAAGGTAAAAAGGTGATTTGTGGCTAAACATAGAGCTCTTTAACATGTTACACATACAAATATTATAATTCTATTTGGCACACCTCCGAAAAAGGAAGCCCTAAGGTTGGATCTTATTGTAACTCTAATTCAATTTGAGCTTTTTTTTAAAATTAATGTTCTTCAATGAACCAACAAACATGTAGCCTGCAGGGAGCAGATGCTTTGTTAGGCTCTAATTGTTTCACTGGTCAAACAAGTCAAACAAGCCTGTGAGAGTTATCAGTGTACCTCACATTTTGATAGAAAAATTACTCCTGAATTCTTGTATCCACGCTTCTTCTTCTGTTTCTTTTCATTCATACATGGCCATTGAACCTGGAAATTAACAGCAAAAAAGAGTGTGATATGAATTAAGGTGATTCCTTAGTAAAAGAACGTAACATAGATTGAAGATGAACTTGGTTCACTGATGTAACAAGTCAAGAATGACCCCCACTTTTTATGAAAAAAAATTTTAATAAAAAGTGGGGGTCAAAGTGCTCGTTTTGACATCACAGTGCTGACACATACAGCTATTTAGAACCCTTTGGCGAGAACCAAGCGCAGCCCAAAACTGAAAGGAAGCACTGTCCTTATTACAATTATGAAATAAAAAATGGGGCTCACTGTACTCACTTTTGCAGTCAAGCTGCACAAAGTGTGCACAAAATGCATTTCCTCTGATTTTTCAGAGAGGAATTAGAATGAGTTTCAAAATGACATGTATGTGGAAGGAGGAAGAAAGCATTAAAAAATCCGTTTTTAAAGAATTAACATCGAGATATCACAGTTAGGACGCAATGTGATAAAGACGGTGCTTAGATAAAAAACAAAGTGAGTAAGCACACATCCACTATCGAGGTTCTCTGAGAGGAAGTCAAAATCAACAACATGCATACACATTCCCAACACATTGAGTCTCATCTCGGCAAGAAACAACTACAAGTGAAATTTCCAAAAGCGTTTCTCTTCAGTCAACTTCATTTTAACATTGTTACTTGAGATGCTTTTTCTCATGGCGGCCATCTTGATATGTGCAGTAAGAGATGCGCATCGCAAAACCAGCGAATCACCTTAACAAAGAAAACAATTTCCTCCCTGCACCTTATAGTACCCAGGGTACCATAGGTTTTTTCTCACACCCAGTGGTATGTTTCAGGGTCAGGCAGAAGGTCTAAGCTACGGGCACAAAAGGATGAGAAAACAGGTAGGTTGCATGGGTTACTATAAAGATTTGACCAAACTGGAAAACTTGAATGAAAAGTCTCTGGCACCAAGCAGGGTGCCACACCAGATTCTAGACCATTGCAGTGCATTATTAGCCAACTTCCCAGACCACACTTAACCACAAAATACCAATAAGGGCCTGTTTACATGGCGTTGGGGGTCCCAGGTTGGTGGGTTAACCCGCCTATACATATATCTCTAATTTTAATTTGATAGGTTGGCCATGTTGTTACCTCACCTATTTGGGGTCCCCCACCTCCATGTAAAAGTTTAATCAATGCTGACTGTATTTACCTCCTTTGGGGGTTGAAAAGAGCACATCTCTCTGAGATTTGTGGTAAATGCTCCAATAAAGTCATGTGATCCATCTGAATCCCAGTCAAAACATGAAATCTGAAAATTTTATCATTAATAATCTCAACACACAAGTCATGTATCATTATTGGGCCTCAGTCAAGTTTTATATTATTTTTTTGACTTACATGTAGTAGTAAGACTTCAGAAGAGGGCAATTTAAATTACTATTACAGTAACTATCTTTTTATCATACAGTTATAATTTCTTATAGTCTTCGTCATGAAAATTAACATGCTACAATATGATCAATAATGATTGTACATCATAGTGATATGTTTTAAATACTATGCAAGCGTTAAAATAAAAGGATGTACCAGGGGTTTCCAAATGTTTTGAAGTAGGTGGCTGACTCTGGAAAAGTAGGCACCTGTGACAATTGAGGGGCCACAAGGCCCTGAAGCTTAGGGGGGTCTAGAGTAACCGGCAAACTACAGTCAAGTAGCTTGTTTTGAAACCACTGATGCACATCATAAAGTACTAACGTATTAAATGCTTACTCTAATGGTCCTGTCATAATCACCATTACAAATCTGCTGTACTGGGATTTGAAATGCTTTCCACCTTGGATTCAAATTGTTCTTAACAACCTGCAAATTGGATTAATGTTACAATGAATGCATGACAAAAGACCTAAATTATTTTTTTACATGTTGGAAACTCAGAATACATGTACATGTGTTGCTTGAGCCTGAAGACAACACTAGAAGCTAAGAAGTTACATTGTAACCTTAAACTACATAATATACATTGTATAATAATTATGTTTGGTTAGTAGAGATATATTCATTATAGTTTCAAAAATTTAATAAGCAATTAATGCCTTAGGATTTCTCTTTTTGTTATGATTTTCAGTTACTAATCACATTAAACAGACCTCTGTTCTGTGGACAACAACAAATGTTCCATCTTCTTTTGACCTTGCAAGTTCCAAATAGGGGTCACTCTTTCCAAGAAAATCCTACATGGATTAAAAAGTATTATCTTATATTTTTAACAGAAATGTATATAGAAGAAAATTAATTTTGATCTCATATCCACAACTAGGTATCCTGGGCCTATACTAAATTCTGCTAAAAAAAGAAAAAAAGGAAAAAATAGTAGCATCATCACTGCCTTTAGGTTAATTTCCTCACATTTAAAAAATAAAAACATACAGTACAAAGTACATACAAGGGCTTTTTGTACTTTTTTGGTCACAGCTTGTGCTCGTTATCACTGCTTCTTCTAAGAAAAAATGTAAATACAGTACATGTACATGTACATGTAGTACTGATTGGCACACAGGAAGTAGTATTCAACGTGCTGTGTTGATCAAGACCTGTTAGTTTTACAATGTACAATGTACAATGTACATGACATACAAAGCAGTTATCTTATGGTAACTCATAACTTGGTGAGACTTTACAAAGTAGAGTCAATTCAAGAGAACTACATGCCACTAAGACATGCCGTTGCGCATGACTGATCATTGTGAGATCGCTTTGAGTATGAAACACTCACCTCAGAATGGATCTTGTACTACATTATTATTATTTCTATCACAGAAACTGGTAATAAATCACAAACCTTCTTGTCTAGTTTTTCAGCCCTGAATTGGAAAAGCACTTCATCATTTCCACCAGTAACCTCTTCTGCAACCACCTACAGGTGTATGACATACAAAAATTAATCGATTATTTTCCAAGTAAACCAGGGACGCATTGATATTATAATTATCAATTGAATTAAAATTAAATGACTGTGGCTAAATGTAATTTAGGTAAGCTACAGTAAAATTCTGAAAATAAGCCCTTCTATCTCCAAATATAAGCCCCCCAAAATTGTAACACAAAATCCCCTAGGATAAATCCCCCCTTCAAATACAAGCCCTTGGAATAATATGATACCCTCAAAGCAAAGCGAAAACTGTACAGTAACACATAATTTTTTGTATTTGCCAAAGAACTATTAAAAGTGCCAAACGATTACAGTCAAAAAGTGTCACAGTTAATTGCTGTTTGCGTAGTTCACTGTTCAGTCTTGGCTTGGATTTCCTCAGTCCGTATACGACAAAGTACTTGCATGGCTGAGGTTTGGAAAGATCTGCGTCCTCAAGGCGAGTTTCAGTAAAACTTGCTGCAAACTACTGACATAAATTTCCTTCCAACTATAAGCTAGCCCAATGGATTTTGAGACGCTTAATTAAGGTACCAATCAACTCTGAAACCATCTTTCGTTGATGATCGAGTTAAATAAACTTTTTGATTTAAAATATTAAAATAAAATTAATGACTTTGCAAGCCAAAGAATACACTGCAGAATAAACTGTTCAGAATACACTGCACAAAGTCATATAATAGTAATATCATACATGTAACATTGATAATGATATAATTTAACAAACATAGTAATAATATCATTATGTGATCAATAATAAAACAAGCAGTAGTTTTGTACTAGGGAGTTTTAGCAACAAAGAGAACATGCAGCAAAAGGTTTATAAAGCAAAACAACAAGTTTGCACATGCATCACACTTTTTTGTGCATTTCTTTGCCATTACTGCACAACTATGAGTACATACAGCTGTAAAAAAGCCTAATATAACATTTTACAGAAGACATAAACAAGCAACATTGAAATTGTCTTTCTCCTTCTAAACTTGAGTGCAGTCCCCAGGAAATCAACACCAGGGAAATTTGCCGACATGTACATTAGACATTTTCAGTGAATTGAAATGAAATAAACATGACAAAGTTTGATAAAATACTAGTTCATTTTAAAAGTGACTTTTTCACTGCTGTTGCTATTGTCGATGCTAAAACTCCCTACTACAATCATGACAGAGGGGCCATTTTCATCTTTTTCATAAATCTCCTATAAATTCAAAATTTATTTCACCAACACTAATACAGAATGAACAATCAATGTTATCCAATAATAGTCTTTAAAGGCAACTGGTATTACAAACGTCCACTTATTTTAAAAACCTACTGTTATGGTTCCAGCTTGTCCAGATTTTCCCTTAAATAACAGTGGTTTTGTGTAAGTTCCAGGTGACACAAGCTAAAGAAAAATAAAAGAATGGTTTAAGCAGAAGAAATAATCAGTGCGATCTCTAAAAAATGCATTAATTTATTCTGCCAGTGTATAGGAATTCTAGCATATAGCTGATTGCTTTGGCGAATTAATTAATTCCCGTGGGAATTATGGGTATTCTAAGTCATGCACACATGCACACAAATTAATTTTTGTTGGCATGCAGCCATCTGGAAATGTGAGATTAAGATTACTTTTTAAATAACAGCAAGACTACACATTTTGGTGGCAGTGGCAAGCAATGGTGGGTTGAAGAAAGTAATAATTAAATGTGACTGCCCTTTGAATTAAAAGTGCTATCTACATGTAACTCAAAAACAAAACCTACAGATGCTCCAAATTTAAAGATTATTGAAGTGTGACTTTTTGGGAAAGTGTGGAACATCAGTTGTGGACCCCTGAGAGTGTGAGAAAGGTCATGAAATTGTTAGACTCACTACAAACTCATGAGACTTGGCAAGTCTTTTAATTTTTCAGCTAAACCACTCTGCCCAATGATGCAATCATCTGAGTGGTGGCAAGGTTTTAATCATAGCTAGTATACACAGTCTTGTGGTCTAGCTCAGAACTTCCTGCTCAAGCACAGCGGCGCACGGCTTCAAACTGTGCTAGCCAGCTGGTGGTGGAGCCAACGGGAATGAACATAATAAGTTACACATCACTTTATAAGTGAGCATTGTAGCTTTTTTGGCCACTTACCTGACCCAGTGTGCACTCTAACTCCCCCAAGAAATCTGCAGTTTTCAAGTTGCCAGTGGGACTATCAATATCATAGATAAAAAACTTCAGCTTCTGAAGCTCTTCAAAAAAGTAATCCACTAGAACAGCTTTAGAAAATTGAGGATTTAAAGTATTATCCAACTTTTCAGTCCTACCAACCTGAAAAAAGGAAGGAAAATCCAGTTAACAACAAGAAAAAATTATTTTCCACTTCTTCAAAATATTAATTTCCTATTTAAGGTTCTGTTCCTTGGTGAGTTTGTTCACATGTCTTCAAAATAGAAAATAGAAAAGCTATTATAAGGCAGAATTGGCTGATAAACAGCAGCAAGTGGTACAAATATTTCTCCTGCCTGAAAGCAAAGATGACAAAGAAAAGTCAATAGAACTTCAATTTCCAGGTACATTAATTGTAATTTGAAGCAGGGTTAAGATACAGTAACCCAGGATTAGCATGTTATATGATTCAGATCTGAATGTTCACAAAGTAATATACATGTAAGTTCTTGTACAGTGTAAATTCCTTTAGCCTAAAATTTGATGCTTGGATGTTTTAAAAGGACTGCTAAAATCATCAGAGGAAATGCTTTTGAACAAAAGAAACTCAACTCTCTTAAGATAAGAGGGCTCTTAACTTTTGATCTGGAACAATAACCTATTGTTTTGAAATAATAGTTACAAGTTCCCTTAATCTTAAGATGTTTTTTTGCAACCCGACCCTGGCCTTTGAAATTATAGATTTGTGAGGCTGGCAGTGACCCTGTTTAGTTACAAACCTTCTTGTTTTTCATATGTAAATGATCGTGTTCATCGGCTTGTTAGCATGAGAATACCACGATTTGCACATGAAAACCAGGAAGGTTTGTAACATAACAAGGTCACTGCCACCCTCGCTTCTATTCAAAGGCCAGGGTACTGAGCACACAACAGTAAAATGGCCTATTTGGCACTGTGTTGTCCATGATAAAATCTACCTAACTTGCAAGTTTCATGTTCCCCATGATGCAGTTTGCTTTCCCCTCCAAATTTTATATAAGTACTGGACTAATAATTGTCCCTAGAGACTCATGCAAAATTCTGTGGGGAAAACAAATTGCATGATGGTAAATGTGAAAGTCATAGATACATGTAGCCAGAAAATCCCCACCCCCTCCCTCTGACCCAAAATTAAGGATGGAAAAATGGTGTGATTTATCCTTTGTACTGCTCCATCTTTGACTTTAGGGAATGGGAGTTTTGCTTTTCCATTTGACTCTGTCCATGACTGTGGTGTTTGGACTACGGAAAAACAACTCCAGTAAGGGCGCGAGGGTGGGGCGTATACAAGTAGAGCGCTTTTACCCCTCTGCAGTGGCCACGCTGCGCAATCTGAACATGCTAGTACAAAACCTCTATTGGTGGGCCATTTACCTCCGACCAGTTGCCATCCTTGAATATCATAACGACCGCCATTGGGTCAGATTTGGACAAAACATCTTTGTCTTTCAAGTTCTTGCAAGAAATGTTCAACTGGACTCGGGTCACGCACTGAACCGATGGAGCTGATGGGAGCGGGTATGATGCCTGCATAACTTTTCTTACGCTCCTTTGTGACTCCAAGTGGTTTATGCGGCGTTAGTTAGTGCTGCTAACGAACGTTTTCCACATAAATAAAGACATTTTCCTCCTTTGTCTGAGAAACATACAGAAAGTGACGCCTGATTTTAGACTGCGAAGGCCTGGACCTGGAATCATAAAGATAGTTTATTCACCCTTACATGAACGCGAATTTGAAAATCCAACATGGCGCAGTTTGTGGGAACAGTCATTGGAACAAAAATGGACAAAACAGCCAAGGTTTTAGTCACAAGGATGGTCCTATACCGAAAATTAAGAAAGGTCAGAATTCTATCTAAGTCTTAAGAAGAAAGAGCTTTATTTAAAATTACCAACGACAGCAGAAAACAGCACTTCAGAAAGTGTTTTCCCCTAGGCAGCTGTGTCCTTATGTTCATTGTTGCCTGTTTAAATCATTTACACACGATTCATTCATCTCCCCAACAAGTTTAGGTTCTTCTATCCCTTGATATCACGATTTAAAAGTTTTTATCAGTCTAGCGTGGGTGTCAGACTATGAGAATTGTTTTACTAATTGTTACCTCGTAAGCTTAAAGTTCGTCAAACAAGTTCTACATTAAGCTTGAGCTTATTATATTGCTTTCTTCTGAATTTCAGTACTTCAATGAAAGAAAAGTTTATTTTGCCCATGATGAAAATAATGACTGCACCAGAGGGGATCTTGTTGTCATCAAAGAATGTCGTAAGCTTAGCAAGAAAAAAGCATTTACAGTGGCAGAGATAGTAGACAAAGCTCCAAAGGTTGTTGACCCTGAAACAGGACAGATTCACATACAGGATAACAGAGAATAACATTTAAGGAAACATTAAAGCAGCTTTTTTTATCATAATGAACAAGAGAGTGAAGAAGATTAATTTGTACAAAGGAAACAGTTCTCTCCCATACTTACAGTTGCACAATCACATGTACATTGTAACATGGAAGTAGAGTGACCAGCCTGTCAATGAAGAGAAGCAAGACTTGTAGTTAGTTTTGTGGACTTATTTTACTACAGAAGGCCCTCTTCAGTCACATAACATCTACAACTTGCAACAAACTGGTGGAAAAATGATGATGATGATGATGATGATGATGAACTTTATTTAAGTGTCTACAATGTACATGTACATGTAGTCTTCTAGCTGGCCTGTTAATGCCTACTAGTAGGGAACTGACTAATTTAAAAATTAAAATACCACCAACCTAACAATTAATGGACATGTATTTTGGAGAACAAATCAGTCTTCCCCTCACCTCAAGTTGGGGTTTTAGTTTTCTTTGCTAAAGTACAGGGCCCAGTTCCTGGAAAGATGGTTGAGTGTAACCCAGGATTAAGCCAATTTTAAGCAAGGTTTTCTCATCCAAGAACATGTTCCTCGAGCTTACAAAATACTTTTGTGCCTTTACTTCAAAAAAAAGAAATGATAACACAAAATGTTGCTTAAGGCAATGCATAGGCAGGTAAATACAAAAAGTGGAACAAAATTTTAATCCCGGATGAGCGCTAATCGGCCTTTCAAGAACCGGGCCCAGTATTGTAGCTTAGTGTAGAATAGTGGAGTAACAATGGTTTTTACTGGTCAGAGCAGGTGTGGGATTTAAACCTGCATTTTCCCATTTCGAAGGAGATAATTATCGTCAGCAAAAAGCTAGAAAAAAATCCCTTGATTTTGGCTCTGCTTGTAACTGCTGTATTAATTAAAGCAAACATTAGCCCTGCATTGTCCATGATATACAAACATGTCCCTTAAGTGAACACGTTCTATAAAAAGACCCTTTTCTGACTTTTCCAGATTCCAGAGAGTTACATGAGGTTCAACTTTATCTGGCATTTTCCTGATTGTTATAATCCACAATCTGATATAATTATTACTATTTTTATTTTTACTCCACCTTGGCAAATCCATAGCTCCTCAACACTTAAACAAGCGCGCCATGTGAGACCTTGCCAAAAAGAAATACAAATTTTTTTAGAAAGAAAATGGAAAAACAGAATCACATAAAAGAAATAACTGAAAGCTGAGTGCTTATTAAAACTTTCTCACTAAAACGAGTCCTGAACTTTAATTAGTGAAATTCAACCAAGATTGCATAATTCTGCACATATTCCAGCAGCAAAAACCTAACATACACATATCTCCATAGGGAACTAACCAGAAAACATTGTATTTGAAGTATTAATTGCAATATCATAAAACTTTACTTTTCTCCAAAGCTTGCAGATTAAGTCTGGTCCCGTATTTTTTTAGACTGGTACATTTAAAATAAAAAATTAATGGTATCAAAGTGTTTACTGCAAAATTGATGTTGCTTGGAGCGTTTCCTGTCTTTGTTCTCGTTTTTATTCTGTGACATGGATCTGCCTTCATAGTGTATCAGGACTTTTTTTTTTTTCTTCATTTGAATATTTGTAGAAATAATTGTGATAACAATATCTACCTAGAACAGGGGCAATGGATCTTGCATGAAAGGCTGCTTTGTGTTTTTAATGATTTGCTTTCATATATTTTTTTCCACCATATTGTTATTATTTTGCAAGCCCGGCACATGCAGTGTATGTGCATTATTTGTTAAAATTGTGAAAAAAAAATTATTCTATTTTACAGCTGATACCATATTCTGTACATCTGTAAATCTCAAAGGAATGCATGGCCTAGCCTATTTATTTTAAGTAACAAGTACCACTGAGGGAAATGGTATTAAAGACATAAGCAACGGTATTTTTACAGTCTGAACAGTCGCTTGATATTCCTTATTGCCCAAAACTGCAATATTATTGGCTTAGCTAGTACATTTTGAAACAAGGTTAAAAGGATAACATGCAGTCAGCCCAGAGTCTATGGGAGTTCATTGGAACTTTGATGATTACAATTTATAAGAGAATGTATGAAAATAAACAAAAAAAATTCTTAAAAATTCATTTTTTTTTTCTTGAAGAGTAGAAATAAAAAAGAACTCACCTTGTGTTTGTGTTGAAAAATCCGGGCTTGGCCACTTCGGTTGTTCATTCTGCGGTCAAGGTCACGTTCACATTCATATCTTTATCCGCGGTTGAAAATATATGATTCATTTAATAATAATGATAACAATAATAACGCGAATATTTATACAGGATAACCTATCAGTTCTGATAACAAGAACTGTTATCAAAAGGGTCCTGTAATTATCTCATAAAGAGCTAAAAAATAAAGAAGAAAATCGAAAAAGGAAAATAAAATAACACTAAGAAATCTAAGATTTAAAAATCAAAATCTGTAAAAATCATCGACTTACAAGACTGAAAAGAGTTGTAAGTCGATGATTTTTACAGATTTTGATTTTTAAATCTTAGATTTCTTCCCGGGGGGGGCACTTTAGGAATTTCTGGGTGGGGATGTGCCGCTGGGACCCTGGAACCCTTAACCTATACCAGAGCTAGTTCAGCTGAGTTTTGCTACCCTATACTAGAGTAAACTCCCCAAATCCCCCTATCCTAGAGTAGCTGTTTCCCCAGTCTAGATAAAATCTTCAACCAACTGATCAGTTTCCTGAAAAATGATACCCTATTCTAGACCCAAACGCTCTGATTTATATACCCTATCCTAGAGTAAACTGCTTGAAAACCATACCCTTCACAGCGGCACATACCTATATAGCCCATATATGGCAGTACCCCCCCCGGGGATTTCTTAGTGTTATTTTATTTTATTTTCCTTTTTCGATTTTCTTTTTTATTTTTAGCTTTTTATGAGATAATTACAGGACCCTTTCATGTCATTTCATGTCTTTTCCACTGTAAGATATTCCCTACTGGCCTGCTGTGCGTTGCATTTGGTTTGATTCCCGGTAAAGCCTGACGTTTTCAGGTTCTTTTTCAACTGGTCAGGTTGTTCATTCTACTGCGAAGATTATGTTCACTTTCAAACTATGATTAATTTCATACTACAAAATATTCAATTGCAAACATTGAACGAATGTTACTCCCGTAGGTCCCCAGCCTAGAAAGAAATTGCAAAAAACGCGGGTGCGCCACTTTTCCCGCCAATTTTTTAAAACTCTTAGTCAAAGCAGTCAGCAGTCATCTTGCTGTCATTTTATTTGGATAGACGAAAATAAGCTTAATATTCAATTTCCACAAAATTCAAAAGTTTGTGTGTTTAAATTCTGATCTCTTTTTTTGCTGTATGTCATGACTGACAAGACTACATAGCAGGAATATGTCCCGCGTTTCTTTTCGGCATTTTACACGTTGATCATTGTGAAGAGAAAAGAATGGAAATCGTTGCTTGAAGCGAAAAAAATAACATTGTTTGTACATCCTAATGCTGGAATCAAGTGAAAAGGATGGCAGACTGGGTCCACTGTAACAACTGCTTTGTTCGACCTGGAGGAGGAAAGAGGTTTTCTTTGACGAACTGTGGCCATATATATTGTGAAGACTGTGTTCGAGGTGAGCAAATTATTAAGAATAATGGAAATAAGCAAAGGGATCTGTATGACCACTTTTCTACGGTGCCATACTGAAATTAAAAATTCGTTTGAGCTATGTTTGTCGGAATTTGTCCCTTGGTCCATGTAAATTGTTAGGGCTTTAAATTTTGCACTTAGACGGCGAGTGATTTTTACAGAGCGCAATGTAATTTTTAAGCTTTTATATTATTTATTATAAGCTTATCAACAAAACCCGTTTATTTGTTCAATAGGATGATAGTCACTCACCGTACAAGCAAGCCCTAAGAACATCAGATTATAGATCCATAGAGACAGTTTGGTTAGAGTTTTTAATTACAATTCCGTAAGCTCTTTATTTTACAATCCCTTTTAATCGCCTTCAACAAGTTCCTCTGAAATTTCCTCCCTTTTCCACTGTAATAGTATCGGTCCTCGTAGAGCAAACTTTTGCACAATGCATGAGTTTTATATTAGGGAGGTGTAACTTCCTGCTGTTGCTTTTGATCTGTAGCTAATCCAGACCATTGCTTCTTGTGTAAGAGAACCTGTAACTCAATCCTTTTGTCATCTCAGGTAAGGCCAATTTTTGGCTAGTTTAGGGCCTTTTTGTGGACATGTCCTTTCAGAACACTGAGGCACCCAATGGATTTGTTCCTCAAGGGTATTTTTAGTGCAGTTGACTGACAACAATATTTTTTTTAACTGCTCCTGGGAAAAAGATGATCGCATACAGCAGTCATTTTGCTGATGCTTACAAGATCTCTCTATAAAACCTGGTAATTAAAATTCTAGCAAGTTGTAAGACTGCTTCTAATCCGCTATTTTTTCTTTCTCCTTTTTTTCTGCTGGAAAACTATAAGAATACGCTGCTAGGTGTGGGTACTTTCCAATCCGCTCATTCTTTCTGGATTGTGTGAGTGAGATACAAGAAATAATTCTCAGCCTTCCCAGAAAACGCTTACAATGGTTTCATAGAGTCTCTAAATTTATGGTTCATCGTGGGTATTAGTTCATTTTGTCAAATTAATCTTATTAGGGTGCCCCTGCGGAACATGCAATAATAACTACGGTAAACAAAATAACGTCGAATTTAATTTTAATACACTTAGATGAAACCCGAAGTTGAGATGTATTTTACAGACCCTGCCGTTTTATCCAAGAAATATCATTCTCAATTGTCACAGGTGAGTGGTATTTTTTTTGTTTGTTTTAAATCCACCTGAGTTGTTTCCTAAAGTGTTACATAATTATGTTCCAAAATTATTATATGATTAGACGTCTGATTATTGGAGTTGTCATGCTTAGTCGGTTTACGGAAGATAAACAGTTCTCATATTCTGGTATGAACTGCATTAACTATAATAGTTGAGAGGGAACACAG